AAGATAAAAAAATATAGTGAGAGATCATTTCCCATTTATAAGACAGACAAAACTTTATGACACAGGACCACACTAAATTCTAGAAGAAACATAAAAGAAACAGGATCTCCCATATACCACAACTGGAATATAAACCAAGATGGCTGCTGGGGAAAGTCACCTGACAATACCTCATAAAGCAGAAAGGACTGATGATGCACACACAATGACACAGTAATTTCATTTCTGTGTATTTTACCTAGAAAAATTCTAACAGGAATACAAGGAGACTTGTACAAGGATATTCACTACAGCACTGGAGTGTTGTTTATAATAGTATAACCCCAAATGTCCCAAAACCCATCAGTAAGGAAATGGAAAAAATATATACAGCAAGTTAAAAAATAAATAAATTARCTCAGTTTGGTCTTAATCTCAATACATAACTTTGGAAAGAGAAGCTACAGAATGATAAGATTACTTACTGTAATACTGTCTYAGTCTGTTTTGTATTGCTAAACAGAATACCAAGTCTGAGTAATTTATAAAGAAATTTATTTGCCACAGTTCCCAAGGCCAAAAGTACAACATCCAAGTACGAGCATCTGATGGCAAGAGCTTGGTACATCCCATAGCAGAAAGAGGTAGGGCAAAAGAGCACAGAAAGAGAGAGTRGGCCAAACTTGCTCTATCAAAACCCACTCCTGAGGAGCTGTGGCTGTGGCTCAGTGGTAGCGCACTTGCCTGGCATGAGTGAGGCACTGGGTTTGATTCTCAGCACCACATATAAATAAATAAATAAGATAAAGGTCTATCACAAACTAAAAAATATATTAAAAAAAAAAAAACCCACTCCTGTAGCTGAGCTTGGTGGGACACGCCTGGAATCCCAGTGGCTCAGAAGGCTGAGGCAGGAGGATCAAGAGTTCAAAGCCAGCCTCAGCAAAAGTGAGGCAATAAGCAACTCATGAGACCCTGCCTCTAAATAAAATACAAAATAGGACTGGGGATGTGGCTCAGTGATTGAGTGCCCCTGAGTTCAATCCCTGGTTCCTCCTCCCCCAAAAACCCCACTCCTGTGACATGAATCCACTAGTGCAGACAGAGCCCTCATGAGCTAATCGCCCCTACAAGGTCCCACCTCTCAACGTTCCCCTTGTACTGGGGATTATGTTTATTTTTTCTTTTTATTTWAAAAAAATTTAGTTGTAAATGCAAACAATATCTTTATTTTATTTTAGTGTGRTCCTCACACATGCTAGGCAAGTGCTTTACCACTGAGCTACTACCCCAGCTCTGGGGATTAGGTTTCTAACACCTGAAATTTTGGAGACACATTTAAAGTATAGCAAATACTGTTTAAATAATAATAATGTTTAAAAACCCCAAATCCTGAAAGGATTTTAAGAAATATGGCAGTAAGGGAGTACAGCCCTTTGAACAGATAAGCAACCATGAGATTATACTGATACAAATACATACAGAAGAAAAAACTCTCACAGTATAAAGTAATGTAGAAGAAATGATAGAATTGGAAAAACCACTAACAACTACCAAAGTAATAACCAACTGAAAGAATCAGTTACTGAAAGAATCAGTAATAGACAGTAGTCCCGTACCTGTAATCCCAGCAATTTGGGAGGTTGAGGCAGAAGGATCACAAGTTGAAGTCCAGCTGAGCAACTTAGTGATACCCTGTCTCAAAAAAAAAAAAAAAAAAAAAAAGGCTGGGGAGCCTAGGACCATGGTGCACACCTGTAATCCCAGTGGCTTGCGAGGCTGAGGCAGGATGATTGTGAGCCTCGATAAATTGCCAGGCTCAGCAATTTAGTGAGGCCTGAAGCAATTTAGCAGAATCCTGTCTCAAAATAAAAAAAGAAAGGGCTGCGGATATAGCTCAGCTCCTGGATTCCAGCCTTACTACCATAAATAAGTAACTAATAGTAAAAAGGTGTTTATTGAGTAATATAAACTCAAACTATCTCCTTAAAAGATACTTGTTAGATACCACCTTAACCAAATGTTAAAGTTAATCCATCCAATCCCATCTCCTGTTATGAAACACCTACAAAACTTAAATTGACCAAGAAATACAACACTTATGGCAACTTTAAAAAAAAAAAATATATATATATATATATGTAAATATATAAATAATTATTTTTGATCCCAGGGACTGAACCCAGTGGCACATCACACATCCCCAGCCCATTTTATGTTTTCTATTTTGAGAC